TGCATTTTATTTAATCAACTTATGTTTAAATGGCGTCTGTATTTATTATACATATATCAATTAGGTGAAGAGATAATTGAAATAGGGATTGGTTTGTTATTTCACTAACTATTTGTTCGATTAAAATAAAAGTTCTTTTTGTGTGAAAGGTAAAATGATTACAGTGTTTGATTATCACATTGTACAGTTACAGTTTATTTTTTAATGTCCTGCTAGGTAAAAGGTCATGAGGCTTATTTTTTACCAAACTATGCTGTATATGATCACTGAAAATGCAGAAATTCCCTTTAACCTGAGTAACTTCAGACGTCATAGCTTGTAAATCTTTGTCGTTAATTGGATCGAATTGAGAGGCCGCCCTTGGTATATGCGCTCATATGAGAATGCCGGGATATTGCTGGTATTTTCGGTTTTGATATTTATGTTGGGTAATGGCTAGCAGTGGAATCCAGGACATGCGTTTCGTCTTATTTTTGGGCTGGATGTACCTGCCTCCCAGTAAGCAATGTAATTCCCTTATAACTCGGACCCAAAGTTGATCGCTTCAAACCCCAGAGGAATATTCTTTAGGTTCTGGGTTCAGGTGTTAGTGGGAACAGCATCACTCATCGATAGACAGATAGACATATCCAGATAATCCATCTCAAACAGGACAAAACGCGAGTCTTAGATTCTGCCCTTAGCCACTATCCATCATAATATCAAAACTGAGTAACTTCTGTTTAAACACCAAATTTTATTTCTAACATTATTTCAGATGATTTTATTCTCTTGTAGTTTTGCCTGTTCTATGTAAAATTAAACATCGTTTTGAGCTAATGACTTTTCTATATCATTTCACCGGGTGTTACAATGTTGTTTAACATGTGGGTAATTATGGTACCAAATATTTACAAAAGTTTAACGACTATTACCATTATTATTAGAACGAAATTCATAAAAAGTTTGTTGAATTGTACTCAACCTTACGCAGCGATTTATCAGTTGAGATTAACACAGCGTGATAACTGAGCCAAGTAGTTTCGTACTGTAAGTTATTACACTCGGTTTAAGAGTATGAAAGGCTTTCCATGATATTATTGTATGATCCTTATTTACTTCACCGAAAGAAAGTTATATGAACTAAGCCGGTAATTTCGCAACAAATGCTTTCGGACGCAGAATGAAAGAACTTTAATAATATGAAGTTATGATCACTTTACTCATACAATATGTTTCTTTGGAATTCTTTCAGCATTTCGAAATGTTTAATTGATGCCATGTGGCTGGAGGCTACAGGCTGATTGCATCCAGCCCCTCCTCTCCTTATAATATATATATATATATATATATATATATATATATATATATATATATATATATATATATATATATATATATATATATATATATATATATATATATATATACTAAAGTTATTTCATATTCCAGTAATCTGCTTCCGATAGCCTACATGAAAGTTCACCTTGTAAATACTAAAGAAGGGAAAATAGACACTAACAGAGGGTGTCTTTAAGAGCACTCCAATGAGAGTGTAGGATATCATTAGTAAATTACATTCAACGGTAATTATCCTGATTATATCAGATTAAAGCAAATTTTCAAGTTTTTGGGTATGTGAAGTGGTAAACCATATTTTTAAGGATCGGCTGATAATTTAAAGGTATAAAAGTTGTAAATGGCCAGTAATTTTAGTGATATTGTGGTAAAGACGTCTACTCTGAATATCCCTGCTCACCTTTCCTTTACTATCTATTCCTTTGTGTCATTACCAATGGAATACGGAACCATTCCGTCTATCTAGTTATACTGTGGTTTTGATATATTTTACTAGGAAATAGTTTATTTCTTCTGACATCTTTAGATATCTGGAAGTTGATGAACCATGCTCTGTAATGAATACAATATTACTGAAATCATCAATCTGAGATGCAGATATTCCCCACCGTTAGCACATTTACTCCAACTGATTAAAATATGGTCAGTAAGCAAATATTTATGAATATCCAAAGACTTTTAGTATTATAAGAAACGTTTTCCTGAATTCCTGAGACTTAAGGTCAACATTCATTTTTCAAAAACTGTATAAAGGTGCCACCTAGCAATTATCAAAAGACTCACACATAACCTATTCATTTCGATATATCGACAAGTTATTCCACTTTATGAAGTCATACTTAACACTTTCCACACTGATCATTCCTCTCTAGGTTTCTAAGTTAACTCTCATGTAGATTGTTCTGAATTAAATGGTTTCTTGTTTGAAATTGACCAGTGGTCTTCCTCAAATGGTTTCAATCTAAATCTTTAGCCTCAACTACAAACAAGATTGGTGTGAGCTGCTTAGGTTCCATAACTCCTGTTGCATTTATGGCATTGTTACTGAAAGTATATGAAGTGTTAACTATATTGGTCTGAGTTTTACTTCTGATCTTTATTGGTCGTCTTATATCTTGTTGACTTCCAAGAAAATCTTTCATTTAATGCGTTAAAGAAACTGAAACTCTCTGCTATAACTTAACCTCTACTTTTACAACTTATTAATTCTAACATTTTGCATATTCTTCTCTATTGCTTCCCGTTGGTCTACTAAAAAAGGACTTTGGTATATTGAGTAGGGTTTTGAAAGCCATCAGTAAGGTAAGTTCTGTGTCTGTGGCTCAACTGATTAACACTGTAGTTGATAGACACTTAAATTCTAGCAGGCAATTAGCTGAAGTAATTTTAACTGACACTAAGCGTCCATTTTACTCACAGCTCTCTCCTTATATCTCTTCAAGGAGGAAAAGAAGAAATTACATAAGACCATAGGCTTGTACAAGAACTCGACTGTGCCTTACCTAGAATGCATACTGTGTGAGGAAAAAAGTGTTAGAACAAAACTCACTCATCAACTTTTTAACAATAAATAATCAGTCTTTCCAATATTCTAACTAACAACCTAAACTTTTCCTCTTTATTAATATTCTTTACATAATTTATAGTATTTAAAATGTTGTAAAGAAGTATATTTATCTTTGTTGTAATATAACATGCTGAAAATTCCAAATCTTACCAAAAATTGTTTAGAATAAAGTGATTATTACTATTATTATTACTTAATATTAGGCGAAGTTCTAAAGTGAAGGTAAAATTACTGAAGGCAGTATTTTGTAGTTTTCTGTCATAATTCAAGCAGTAGAGCATAGTGTGAGTAATTCTTTGGTCTCTATTTTCATTTAACTGACGAGATAGGTTCCTCTTCTATATTAGATATCAGGACTGCTTAAGATAAAAGACTGCCAATCCTTGAAATGGTTGAACAGTTTGGAATATATATTTAAACACCTGTTTATAGTTTTACTGAATTAACAAGCATAGTAATTTCCTCTGATGGTTAATCATTTTTTTAAGGAGAGAGATTTGATACTATATGAGTTATGTTAGATGTTAGGAGTTAAACTGAGGAAACTGAGCCGAGGTTGACATCCAATAGTGAGGTATATTTAGATCATTCATGAAACTTATGTTGCCTTGGAAATCTGAACATACTTCATTCATAACTGAAGTCGAAGATCTTAAGCTGTTTAGACCAATGTAGTTTCTCTATAGGATAGTGAATGACTTAGGAAAACAGTAAGCGTATTAACACTTATTAACTCGATAAAGTATGAAATTCTTATTGACTCCACTGAATGAAACACATAAATTCAGATTGCAATCGACTTGTTGAACCTTTAACTGTGACTTTATATGAAATAGTTACCAGCTTATAACTGATTCAGTTGTAAAGTTCATAGTGTTGATCAAAGTTTATCAACGAGGTCTGTTAAGACACAAAAAAAATTCTATTTGGTTTTGAAAATCATATCTGTAATATAAATATACAAATACTCCATTATTAAAATTATAAAGAGTAAAAATAAAATGTCATCGGAGTGTACAGATAACGTCCACTTTAAGTAATGTTGAGTGTTGGATTAAAAAGTGGTTTTTGATCAACTACGGAAATTTACAGGAATCCAGTTAGAGATAAACGCAACGCTTGACAAATTATGACTAATATAAGTCAGCCAGTTGTTGATGTGAAGAACCTTTTGGGCTTAATGATCACCTGCGATGAGGGCAATATTATTTCCGAAAGTAACTTGTTCAAAATGAGTTATAATCACATTTTTACCGTCTTTCTCACTATGGATAAAAGAAATACTGAGAAATGGGTTAGATGTAATGAATCCATTTGCTCAGCAAGAATAAGTCAAACAGCTTAGATTGGTTTTATCGATATGTTCAGAAATTTTACAAGCCATCCATTCAGCGGCTTTAAACAATCCTGTTTGACAAAAAAGCTTAAAATAGATACAAACCGATGACCGGAATTGCAAGGTAAGTTAGTTTGGAGCAAGATTCAAACTATCCACCCCCAGATTATCAGTATACAACTTTATTGATTGGCTACAAAACTTAACTATTTGACAACAGTTATCATAACTTTTCACTTTCCTCAGTAACATCATTCCTTTTATCAAGGATCGTCCTACACACTTGTTTTGATGAATGTAAAGCTTCTTTAACACAGTTTAGCATAGAAGAACTGTCCGTGTTATCTAAGACATTGATGCTAACAATGTTTCAAATAGTGTAGCTTGTCAAAAGGTTACTATAGAACACAGCCTTCAGTTGATTAACTCAAACAGAGAGTAGAACATATTATGCTGTAAGCAGTACACAGCCTTTCGAGAAAACACAAGATATTGTTTATATGCATGTACTGAAATGTATTCTTTCATGAAAATTAATGAAATAAATGAAAACAAACTGTGAATAAATTCATCAAATGTTTCTTGTAAATTTGTTAGTAGTAATAGTTACATAATCATTATAAGTGAAATCACAAACTGCATTTTATCAACTAGTTTTATATGTGCATACTCAAAATCAGTAGAGAAGGAAGTTATAATATAGTGGATGAAGTGTATTGTGCTAGGAACAGGAGTAAAAGAGATACTCAAACACTGTTTTCACATTTGTTGCCTGTTTAATGATAAACAAGCTTGAAGCATAAACTTCTGAAATATATCTGAGTTGACAACTGATGAAGGTTGAGACGAAATTAGATTTGAACTGAATGATACATCTGAATGTATATTCTGAACTCTTGATACTATATTTTGTTGAATAGTATCCACCTGACAATTCCGCATATTTCGATTATTGACAACGAAAGAAGGGAGTGGTAAGCTTGTGTTATTTGCGTTAGAACAGTTTTCTAATTGTAAGGTAGTCGGACATTGAAGATGAGGGTAATTCGATGATAATTCCATTTTCATTTGTCCTACTTTGGATACCAATGGGAATAAATCAGTGGAGGATGAGGATAAATATAAAGGACATATTGGTGGTAAACAGGATGTTGAGGAAAATGGTGGGACTACTGAAGGTGGAAAATCTGTACAAGAATTAGGTTTATCCACCAGTGGAGGTGACTGTTTTGGAATTATTTTCTCCAAAAGTTGTTTAAATTGAGTTTCCGGATGTAAATTTTTCAAATATTTCATTGAAAAATTGAAATTTGTTTTCGCTTCATTTAAAAGGTTTTGTTGTTGGAATGGTTGATCATTACTGCAATTTATAGATTGATAGATGAGTTCATTGAACAGTTGAACGTCGAAATCATTTATCATATTTGTTGAATTCACTTTATTTCTTATCGAGGTCATAGAAACATTATTTGAATTTAAAGCGCTTAAGTTAAAAGGCTTCTTTATATGATTTACCGAAGGATCAGTATTAACGTCAAAATAATTGAAGGGATTCAAATCGTTTCGTCTCACTGCAGATCGAGTAACCATTGTATTTTGTGGCTGTTGTTGAGATGTGGAGACTGTTGGCATAGATGTTGATTTATGCGATGGTAAGGATTTAATCATTTGCTTCATGCTATCATATTCCATAGAATTATCACTATTGATGTAATTTCCATTTACATAGATACTGGGCTTCATTTTTTGTGTCTTCTTACCTTCACTGTATTGCGAATAATAACTGTTAATGTTCCTGCTGATATTGTCATTTGTCATGTTAACTGTCAGTGCATTACCATTCTCAACTTCTGTCAATCTGGATTGTCCATCACTAGTTGGGTGTAGTTTCCGCATATGTTTTTTTAAGTCAAAATTGCGGCAAAAACCTTTATCACAGATAATACATATATATGGTTTCTGTGCTTGATGTGTATGCATATGAAAGCTAAGATTGTAGATTTGATGAAATGCTTTATGGCATATATGACATTTATATTGTTTCTCTGTACTGTGAGTTAATTTATGGTTTTTGTAATTACCTTTTTGATGAAACCCTTTACCGCATACTTCACATGTGAATGGTTTATAGCCTATAAGTAGAAAAAACAACAATATAAGATGAAGAAAAGTCAACGTAAATGAAAACATAATGAGACATGTTATCTACTGATGCTTATGATTCGCAGTTGATTGCTATGGTGTGCTGAATTGATCTGTCCGTGTTGGTATATAGTCACCTATGTAGATGTTTCCATCTCGCCTTAAGTTTTGTTCCCATACTGTTTGCTTGACAGTGGTCTGTAGCATACTTTAGATGGTGCGTTTCGTCTTACTTAGGACTCGTCACTCGGTTTCACCTGCATCCAAGTGAGTGGTGCTGTTTTCACTGAAAGTGGAGCCCAACCAACATCCGTCGATTCGTAAACCATAGCAAGCCACTACCAAGCAAATAATATCAAAACGAATCTTGAAACAATTTCAAGGGATTCATTCAAGTAGTCGATATGCTAAAAGAGACAAATCGATTCAGTTCAGTATAATGATGAAAGAGAATTGATACGCACTTATAAATAACAAATTATACCTATCACAAAAGTGGTGGCTACTGTAACTTAATAACCTAGTGGATAATGCTCTGGAGTTCGAAGTGGTGGGTGCTGGCTTCGAGTTTCAGTGGGATCGCCATCTTTCACTAAGATACAGCTATGCTCAGCTGACGAGTCCCAAATACTAAGAAATATGGGTCCTTCATTCCACCAAGAGCATGAAGCAAATAACACCAAAATATTAAAATCCACTTGACTAAGTGGGAAAATGTACCTTAGAAGACCATTTTAGCTCATTTCAACTAGTAGTTTCCACGATGTATAAAGATTGAGTAACGGTTCTTATTGGGAAATCTTTGTAAATGCTAAAAAGGCATTGTTGACTGTAATAATTTCACCTAGGGTTTAACCTTTTCAGCTGACCTGAAAGAAGTTAACTGGGCTGTAACTAGTTCTGACTAGGAATATTTGTCGACAATTCACTCGCTAGTGTACTTTGCTTTGAGGGTTAAAAATACATAGACGTAAAACGCTAAAGTTATTACTTTAAGTCTTATACTGTTAACTCATAGGTAGTTTGTTAAATGACAGTGACAGACATGGTAGTGCATGACCTTCCAAACAAAAACAGTCATATTTACTACATTTACCAACAGAGCAAAAGTGAATACTGTTGATAGTTGGAAAATAACCGAATAAACGGGGAAAAAAGAAGGGAATAAATAAATAAAGAGTTGCAGAAATTAGGTTATTGATGGATTTTTATCATTTCCATCAGCTTTCATCCATACCACCTATGATTTATATTCATTGATTAATGGTACATCCACAACATCACGCGATGGTAGGTAACAGTACAAATATCTTTGAACTCATTACAAGTTCTCTTTATTCTATAGTCATTCATGTTTACACTATGACTAGATGAATTTAAAACGGCAATTCGCATCAATGATAATAAAACAATTATGACCTTTCTCCAGTGATAACAGCAACAAGCTAGATTATATTGGTTACTGACACCAAGCTAATTGGTTCGATGAATAATCGTTAAGCACTACTTACTTCATTCAAGTCTAAAGGTGAGTTTTCAACGGATATTGTTAATGGTTGCCGGAGTGGGGAGAAAAAAGTGAAAAACTAGTACCTGGGTCGTAATTGGTTGGAGGTAATCGACATGTTTCATGCTTGTTGGGACTCGTCAACAATACATATCTGCAAACTCGAGGAGAGTGATGTCTCCTTTGAGATTCAAATCTGTGTCACCTAGTGTTGCAGTCAGCGATATTTCCAATGAGCTCTTGAGGCTGCTAAGTGGTCAATGTAGTTGGACTAGGTTTTTCATTTTGTAACCTAATCCTTATTCTTCGTAGAAGGTTAAAATTTATTTTATTAAACAAGTTGAATAAACAAATGCCAAATGAATATTTTACAAACTTGTGGGCTAATAGATCTATTTTGAAGAAAATTATCTTTCCAAAGACTTCACTTTTCCCACTTTCATTACAATCCTGAATATGGCTGACAGGGACTGTAGGGACAGGATTAATATATTCTATTGTTATTGAGTTATTTGTACTAGGTTTGTAAAACAGTCGGTTATTACTCCATTTATTTGAGCTAAACTAATAGAATAAGTTGTTCGCTTCTTGAAAAAATCGTTTTTTTTGAAGACAGGTGTACATATGCTGATGCTGAACATGGCAGCCTTCCTGACGATTTCACTATCTTTCATCGGATGGGTCATTATAATGAACACCGCAGCTTAACAACCAGATTGTGAAACTGATCTGTAGAATTTAGTTTTCATTAGACCACATAACATTGCCTAACAAACAATCACTGGGTCTGATCCAATCTTACAGGAAGTCACAGCTAAAATAACATCTGCGGCCAAAACACTATGTAATTCATTTTCGGATCTTTGAAAGGAGTGCCATATTCCTTTAGTTTGCAGGTTTTTCTTGCTGATGAGTGCCAACAAGCATGAAACCTTTGTCTAGAACTACACGCGGTATCCTTCAGCTCTCTGTAGTTTAAGAAAGCCTCCATTGGTTATCTTCTGGCACACTTAAGGAATATACATATTTTTTAAAGCAGCATTCATCACGAAATCTGGGAGCACTGGAGGACTGTTTCGTCCTAGTATGGGACTCCAGAGATAGGCACCCACTACCCGCCCAGAGACTGAACTCAAGGCCTTCAGATTTCACAACGAACACGTTAACTTTTCAGCCACTGGATGGGATTTCATTAGTTCACAGTTCCCTATTTCTGTCCGTCTCGAAGTATCTCACTAATGAGCAACATTAAGAAATATATACATCATTTGGTGAAATTACCCTAAGCATAAGTTTATTACATAAAGTGACAGTGGAACATAAGAATTAAGTAGTGTTCCTATTCTATGCAGTTATTAACCACTCTCTTCTTCAGTTTGACTACCTGATATAGTCATGGTATGGCAGACTTTTCCTACCGCTTAATACTATGAAGAGGGAAATTTTCTGAATATTTTAATTCCCCACTCAAAACATTTCAATTGAATGCAAGATAATTTTTACAATATTTTGTTTCCCAATCAAACAACTAACAAGACACTCATCCTAGCCTGTGTATGTTCTGCATGTTTATTACAAACCCGACTTCCATTCGTAGAAGTTGCAGGATGCAACAATAAGTACTTACCTAATGCATTAACAGAACTTCAGCTCATAGAAGGACATGGAAGCAAAGTCTCACCTTATATTGGTCTTGGTGACTAGCAGAAGAATCTATGACGTGCGGTTCGTCCAATTTGGTGGCTACCGTGCCCCTGTGGTTTAGTGGATAACGCTCTGGCGTTTGATGCGATGGGCACTGGGTCCAAAATTCACGGGGAACAACATCACTCACTAGGGTGCAAGGTACATCCGGCTGACGAGTCCCAAGTAGGATGAAACGCGCATCTTGGATTCCTCTGCTAGTGACAAAGATTGCTATGACATCATGGATTTTCAGCAGTATTGTAGGATCTGCATAGCAGCACACGTGCCGAAAGAGGTCAAGCAATTCAAACCCGTATAGCAACGGGAAATTATCAATATCATAACAAAGTCTCACCTTGATGAATTCGGGAGTGAGTGTTCAAAGTTGAGCTCCTATTGAAGGCCTTCCCACAAACCCAGCATACATGTGGCTTTTCTGATGTATGAATTATCTTATGACGACAAAGTGTACTGGCTTGACGAAAGCCTTTGTTACAAACCTATTATGTTTTGAAAAGAAAAGCGGAAACAATAACGGGAATTTATTAAAAGTCAACCATATGCAGAAAATACTACGTATATGAAACTATGTGCAAAAGATGTAACTGTTCGAAAATCTTTACTTTTCTACTCAATGTAAACATCGTGCATAACTCTACAAAATAAAGTTATTTTTAATGGATACTGAAGTAAACAGAAGTAGTGAGAATGAAAGGGTTCTGAAGAAATTGAATTAAATATTTTCACTCTAACCACTGTTACGTTCTAAGTATGCACAACAAAGAAAGCTACAATAATACATCCAGTCGTAATATTCCTACGGCGAATATGAGTTTGAACTCAATACAATCATCTCATTGTGTGGATTGATTGAGTCCTTTGTTCAAATACTTCGTCGCTATGACTTCTATATATACTTAGATAAAGTAGTGTTGTAAGCTTATGAATATACACAATTCCCTAACACTTTAGGAGTAAAGAACTTTCTTCAGTTATGTTTTGACTGGGTATCCTAAGGATAAGCACAAATTCCTTGGAAAATGCAGCGAGTATTTCCACCATCTTTTCTAACTTGTAACTTTTATTACAATGTGTGTAGTTCACGGAACGTTTATACTTTCCCCTTACCACATTGTTTTTGATTTATAAGCGTTGGCGATATGGTTGTATATAACAAAGTAAAGAACATTTTATTGATCAGGATCGAACATTTATTTAAAAATGCATCTGTTATTGATATGGAACAACCAGTGGGGAGTTATAATCCGTTGAAGCAAAGTTCAAAGCTGTTGAAATAATATTGATATAACCTACAAATATAAGTTTTTGGGTACATTTCAATAAACTGTACTCTTATAACGCATAATTTAATCAACATTCACTAATCAAGTTTATACAGTAATTATGGGTAAAGACATTTTTCGCGAAGACATAACTAACCCTTATATTTTTATTTGCCTACTCATTCAACAAGCGGATTCATAGTTCTTCTTAGACTTCTGACAACGTTGAATAGATTTTTCCTATCACATTTCTCAACGTCATTAAAAATCTGCACTTTGTCAAGTTCTTTTGCAATGAAGAACTAACCTTTTGTCTTCAGTTATAAACTTTATCTAAGGCAATGTGATTGTTTCCCTTCATATACAGTTTATAACAAATGAACAGATCACTTCGTGGAAAACGCCTCCTATCTGAAATATCTAAAGTATTAAGGGTATTACTTTTGTCAAAAGCCATCATGAATCCTTATTTGTTACTTCGAATGAAGATCACTTAGGTATTGTTCAAAGATAGTAAGACCTGGACATTACACTTGATTCTTGTCTCTTATCAACCTCCTTATAAAATACCGAGTTACTTAACAGAAAATACGAAGAAGGAGTTTATGACGTAAAACAGAGAGCTAAACAGCTAATAAGTGTTCCCCGTTTATCTATGACTCTTCAAGTCATTGTGAAGTCTAGGAGTGTAGAAAATATGCCATGCATATTCCATGCAAACATTTAATATGTGTTCACCCAATTTTTAAAATTAATTCAATTTATCCATCAATAGAATGACTTACCTTGCAAATGAAAGGTCTTGCACCGGTATGAATTGGCATGTGCCTTGTTAAATTGTAATGAGCTGTAAATACTTTACCGCATTCTGGACATGTATACGTTTTGCCTGTAGTTGTATTATCCGATGTATTATGCTCTGAATTCGTCTTCGTATCATCATCATCACCATCCTCGTCTACCGTCACATCTACTATCATATCGTCATCAAAATCATGACTATTTCCCACACTCTGAGCAATATTACCTTTGGGATTATTAGTAGTGGAAGAAGTAACTTGTTGTGCTACTATTACATTATGATTATAAGAAATGTCGATATTTGAGTGAACTGATTTGTGTAATTGTTGACCTGTATTCAATGGATCATCCGACTGGTAATTTTGTCGTCTGCTCATCCAATTCAAAGAGGTATCACCTGTATTTCCCACTCCAATGACAGGAGTACTGTTATCGCTTGGTTGTAATTTCATCATTTTATCATTCTTTATTACTGATCTGTACTGTTGATCCTCTGAACACATACCGTCTATTAGGGCTACATTCCGAACAATGTTATCTGTTGATAGTGTCAAGCTTGTTGCCATTGTTGTTGTTGGTGCTGTTGAAACTGACTTGTCAACCTTTGACCAGTTCGAAATTAAATTTGTCTCACTTTCCCTATTATCACTTGTTGTCAGCTTGACATGATTCCTTGTTAACTGAGAAGGATCAATCAATCGATCAATAGAAAAATTCCCCAATGATGTCGTCATTCGGTAATATTTGAATAAATAATAATGCTATTGAAAAATTGTAAGGAAAATATAAAAAACATATTAAAAGATGAATGCATATCATACGGACTATAATCTATTCAGTGAGAGAGAATATAGTCACAGAAAAAAAACACGCATTTCATAAGAGTTTATTGTTAAAAGTGGGGAAATGAAATGCATGAAGAAGTACGATAATTAAAACAGTCCACATGGAAGGATCAGATATGTCGATCCACGCATATTTTCAGCAAGAGGAAGAATTCTGAAGGGAAAAACTTGTGTAGTTGCAAACCAGGTATGAAACATTTTAACTAACAATGGGGTTAGTTATTCTGTTTGACTGTCACACATAGAATGCACTTCTAACTACTATTATTATGATTACTGGTTTGAAATATTTTGAAGGTCGATTTCAAAGTAACAGGCCTTAGGATGCTAAATTAATGTGATACTTTATCTAAGCTTATTCCACATAACAAGTCACAGTGTAAAAAGTTATACATATTAGTTTGGCGATATTGTTTCAGGCATAGTAGGCAGTTGATAAACGACTGGTTCTTCATCAGGCACAAAATGTTTCTAACTTCACAAACTCGAACTAATGCTACTCTATTTTGAATTGTAACAAATAAATAAGATGAAAGTTCTCATTATTCACGTTCGTGTATACTACGTGAAAATGACTCTTTTGAACAAATTTTCTTTTTTTAACGTATAGTGTCTAATACTCTTAAGGGATTTCCTTTTAAAGGGCCAAAATGCTCGAACTCAAAACGTATAAAATCAGATCTCTTATTCTGCCTTTTCTAGTGAATGACAAGTCAAATGATTTAATATATACAGTATCCACAGCGAGATACGATGATTTGTAATTTGTTTTGCTACAGTCATGTCCAATTTATAATATATTGTTCTTCTGTATAATAAGTTTGATAAGCGAACTAAGCTGAAATCACTTTCAACACTAAATTAACAAAGCAAAATAAATCCACAGTAATAAATTGAATCCGCTTAGTTGAAACAGTTTTATTTATTGCCATAAATTGTGTCAATGTTTTCTGACAATAAAAACGAAACAAGTTTTACTCCTTAACTGCATACACATTACTGTTGCACAAGGGGTGGCTATTCGTACATCAATGGCCTGGTGGATAACGCTATGGAGTTTGAAGCAGTGAGTACTGTGTTTCAATTGGAACAATATCACCGACTGAGGTGCACCTACATCCATCTAAGGAGTCCCAAATGGGACGAAATACGCGTCCTGAATTCTTCCGCTTGTTACCAACATGAATAAAACACTTTCTACACATTATTTTATCAAACTGAATTATACATGCTGGTTGAGGGGAGATAAATCTATCTACAGCAATATTTGGACACTTGTCCATATCCATAGAAGTGTTTTATGATATCTATACAACTGAACTACTCTGTAACCCGAAATACTGATTTATGTTTTAATTTCACCCAAAGTTCAGGCTGAAGCCTCTTACGCACAAGACGTTCATGAAACTGCAGTATACTCCGTAATCAACCATCCATCCATCCAACCATCCATTAAAAACAAAAATAATAAGCATAATATGATAGTTATTCCATATAAAACAACAAAGATAATAAACTAACCAGAAGATAAGTCAGTTTACTACGTATTGTCAGATTTCTAATGTTTGATTAGTTTATTATTCCACTAAACTAAGTATTTCTAACTCGAATCACATTTAAAATACTGCGAAAAATCTCATCCTCTTGACTGTTTTGTTTTAAAATATAGGTAGAAGGCAGGGGATCAGTGTACATCGTTGATTGTATACTTGCCTCTGTGCGCACATACGTGAGTCCTACAGTATGTACAGCTGAAATAAGTGGCAGCCTACTATTGTCTAGAAGCATGACAATAAATTAGGGAAATCGATCAATAGTTGTCCGATTGGCTGCTTTTACTTCACCCTACATATAAGCATGGTAGGACTGAAATAGGCTGTGTTTTTCAAACTGACCAATCATAGAATTAAAATTTCCGTCATATTAAGTATGTATGAAAATTGACTACCAATAAAATACAAAAAGTATGGGATTTAGGGAGAAATTCAGTATGACCAATAAGAGATGTTGTAGAAAAGTGGAAGTGTGAGACAAAATAAAATGCCCTGACAACAGATTTTCTATACTAGCTAATCTATTTTTTGTTTCTCTTACTTATAGATAGATGTGTGTATCCATTTCCAGTTGTGACGGTTTATAGAAATATTGAATTAAGCTTCCTGTCCTCCTTTATGCCTAATTCATGGGCTGGTAACAGATGTGACCAAGACTACAGGAAATTATTTTAGGTATACAGTTCACTGTGTTGCAAGTTATTATATGAAAAACCAATATGAAAATGAACCTTCATATGGTATTTACACCTACTTGTCCATTAAAAGTAACAGGGAGCAAAAGCATAGAGCATGACTACAGTGGTGTCTGCAACAGAAAACTCTTCTTTGTTTAATAACAATTTACTATTTAACACCTGAGGTCATTATCAATTTCCGGTGATACACTTCACAGGCTATTTATTATAATTGGTTAGAGAAATTTTAGCCTAACTTTTTGTCATTTTAACAGGAAAGTTACTTAAAATCAAGGTCAAAAGGGTTGTGCATAACACGCCCAGGAGGTTTAGGGTTTGGTAGTAAAGTGAAATCTTGTAGGCTACTTGATAGTAGCTGGTAGGGGAATCCAGTACATACAGTCCACCTACTATGAAACTCATCAGTCAGATGTACCTCTGCCCCAGGAGGTAATGGTGTACCCATAGAGACTTGGACCCAATACCCATCGCTTCAGATGTCAAAGCATTATCCATTAGGTTAATGAGGTACGATAGCCTCCTCTTGTGCAACGGGTTGAATTACTGGACTCAGTATAACAACTGATAATTACAAGTATCATAACAGCAACTGATACTCGTTGCACAACAGGTGGTTATTATACCTCAGAGACTAAGCGGATAATGCTCTGGCTTTTGAAGCGAAGGGTATTGAATTCGAGAGTCGATGGGAATAGCATCATTTACTGGGGTGCAGGTACGTTCAGCTGACAAGTCCCAAGCAGGACGAAACGCGCGTCCTGGACTCCTATGCTAGTCACCAAGATCAATATAACTCATAGGCTATTTTAATGTGTGAAGAATGTTGAAGATCCGTGATTCAGAGATTTTGTCTTGGTAATCTATTTGTTTTACGTAAACTCGGTTCAGTAACAGATGCTTCACTTTCGGACTAAGAAGCCTCCACAGGATGGACTTCAAAACAAATCGGAAAACGGACTAGTTTTATTGCAGAAGTAGCACTAAATCAAGGTTTATCATAGGACAGAGAATTAGTCGCTGATTAGTTTTAAAAGGGATGGTGTTCCAATCTGAATCCAATCCATCTATACACTGGTTAAAAAAGAAATGCACGGGGAAACATCAGTAGTGTTCATGATCAAACTAAATATGTCGAATAAAATTAAGGAGTCATTTGTGAAAAAGTCAACTAACAGGAACATTTTAAGGATATGTACTTGGTTACTATGCAGGAATTTCTACAATTTGTCTTTCTTATAGAGGTTGTTTCGCAGATGCCTTTTTGGTGTGAAAAGAAAGCATCCATATGCAATCCATTTCTATGAAGTAGTTGACAGTTACCTAGTTCTGCTAGACGAAAACTAAGTAACACTGACTTATGATTATTATTGGCAACCGTTATTACTTGTACGCTTGAGACTGAGTCAGTAAGGCCTAGTGTGAAAAGGAATGTCCACTGGACGAAAAGAATAGTGGTATCACTATAACGCGAAGTGAGAAATATCAAAAGACATGAACTACTGGATTCTGACCGAGGTGTTTGGCGGTCAGATACTCATTGGGAGATATGACAGTGTCTTAGAGCTTTTAGTGATTGTTTTTAATGGTTGGTGCTTCAAAGTCACTAGTGGTGAATCAATTAGTGGAAATAAGATTCGATTAATATATGACTTTTATGAGGAATGTCCCTTGATAGAATTGGAGCTCTTCATTTAAAAGGTTACCTTCCTAAGATTTCGAAAGTTTTAAATATGCTAAACTATTATTTATATAGAAGTAGTATTCTTCATGGACTGACATCAGTTGAGGAACCATTGCGAATCTGGAAGCACTGAACAGCTGTTCCGTCCTAGTACGGGACTCCTCAGCAGTTAGCACCCACGACCCAGCTAGGGATCGAACTCAGGACCTTCAGGTTTCACGGCGAACGCGTCAACCATTCACTTACTGGGTCGGTCTCCAGTGGTTCACAGTTTCCAACTCCTGTCAATTTACGACATAGTGCGACTGTCACCCAAGGTCTTTAGTTAGCATCCACTTCACTGCTGAGGAGTCCCATACTAGGATGAAACAGCTGTCCTGTGCTCTCAGACTTCCAGTGGTTCCCTAACTGATGGCAGTCCATGATGAATACTACTTCTAAATTAAAAAATCCCCATTCATCTCAAAAATATATGATTATATATTTCTAAGGCACTTTATGATGAAACAGTTGTCCAGTAATATTGAATTTTTGTTAACCATTTATTTGGTATCAACTAGTGATGATGTTTACCTTTGAGAAGCCCTTCTTTGATTCCCTTAATAGTTACAGTGTACTGCTTTACCTGATTTGTTTCTAAAGTGATAACTGAACCGAACTCAAGATATCTTTGATAACGTTAATGGAAATTCAGTAGTAAAACAGTTTATAAGTAGGTTGAAAAATGTATCCTTTCACAATTAATTATTTTGGCATCAGTAAAATTAGGCTGTAATTAGCAATGATTTGACATTCAAATTACGGTCCGCACACAAATAATCATTATCTAGCGTAATCTGAGAGTATGATATTATAAATTAAATTCTCATGTCAGACACCGAGATGAATTGCTTAGACTGGCCACTTCTTATTGTGTTCCCCAGCTCGACTACTCCTGTAGCTATGTTGGCTACTGTT